TTTTTATCATTGAGATCATAAAATAATCCATCCTAGTGCCTATAAAGTAGTAATCAAATCAAGCATGCCTATGATTTGCTTCCAACTTACTTGTCCATATCAAGCGCACATGTGCAAGACTACCCCATATGTGCATGTAATTCAAACTAAGATTTAGTCAAAAACACAGCTCAAAAGATATCCTTGAGATAGTTTAAGATGGAATGCAGTTCATAATATGCATTAATATCGTCAAGGCTAAACTGTAATATGAAATAGATAATGTAGCATAACTTATTATAGATCTAACCATGTTAAGCAGAATTCTGTTATTCCTATTTGACACCACAATTCATTGAACGTCAATTGCAGAAAACTAGTACACAATACCCTCATTAACCATATAGTTTTTGCACTATCCTAAGAAATACTCAAATCCACAATCAGATTGAAGTGTTTTGATAAGTTTACCTAATCTGTGCTCCACATCAGTCTTGACACTTTCGGAATATACCAAAAGTTTAAGACTTGTGTCGCATCAGGTAAATTTATCTAAAACGTGAGTAATCTTACTTGGATGTTCATAGGACCACACGTGTTAGTGTGTATCGACTTCAACTGTTCTTTATGTCTATTTCATTTGGCTGATTAAAGCCCTTAGAGTTATCTATCATTCAATACAAGATTCACAAGTTGGTTTAGGCTTCCCTGCCTCACTAGGTAATAAACCTTCTTTGACCAATCTTTGAATAGACACTAAAAATACAATGAGTCAGGAATAACAAATTTTATCTTAACATTCAATCTAGAAGATGCAACATTAGTTTCTACATTCTGCAAATATTAAGAGCTGGTGGTTATAGTATATTAACCATCTTTCAATGCACCAGAAGTAATTACACATCTCTTCAATTTTATAAAAACAGTTTTACCAAAAGTAACAACATAGTTTTTATAAACCAAAAGTGAAACAAGAATGAGATTGCGTTTAACATCTGTGCATAAAGATAGTTCTCTAATACTAATATCCTTATACTCTTTTAATATTAGATGTAATACTCCCACTGACTTGGCATCAGGTTAAAAGACAAATATATATCCATATCATTGAGGCTACTGGATTCCTGAAATCCTTGTAATGAATTGCAAACATGTTTAGTGACTCCAAAATCTATCCATCAGGAATTAATAGATAAAACCACATAACATGGCTCAATGATTAAATATATATTTTCCTATACCACGTCGTTGCTTAGACAGTTGGTCCTTAAGTGTCTTAGTTAGCCGCAAAAGAAACAGTTTCATTCACCCCCAACTTACATGCCTTACTTCCATTAACCTTTTGGATACCCATGTTTTGTGCTAGCCTAATCCTATTATTATCCTTCTTTTTTTCCTTTGCCTTTCCACTTGGGCCTAGAAGAAAATGGTATAGACTAGGTTAGATTGATGGAGCACCTATACTTTTGATTATCCCTTCATTTGTTACCAACTCTATAAGAATATCAACGAGTGTGAACTCAAACTGGTTCTTTATTTAGTTCATTCCAAAAGAGTCGAACGAGTTTGGTAACAAGGCAATAAGCATATCAACTTAAAACTTACCACCCAAGTCAGCCCTATTGACCTCCAGTTCAATTTTTAAATAATAAACAATCATTTTCAAAAACACAATCTCATACTGGAGTTTCTTAGGCTATCTTGATGGTATTCAAGTCTGACATAGTACTTAGGCATACTCTCTATCTAATTTCACCAAAATATCTCATTGAGATATAATATGATGCTTGAAGCAAATAAAATAGTACAAATATTAGCTTTGGAGTGTATTCGAGATAAACTCTAAAATGTTGCACCGAACCATATCATTTACCTTATTTCACTTATTAAAAACATTAATGTTCTATTGGGTATCTTGAAGTAAAAGGGAATTAGGTATGGGATTAGTAAATACATTTTGTACCTTTATGTTGTGAGTAAAATATCTAAATTCCTTTTTCCAGTCAGTATAAATGAGATCTAATTACATTGAATATATTTGCAAGCAGATAAAATGGATTAGACATAAATAATTTGAATATAAATGCATTCATACAATATGCAAGGTGAATTATTAATAATATCATACATATTTAAAATTAAAATGAGTTTGTCAACCACATAGTGTAATAAATCTCAATAGAATAAGAGTTCATTATCACTATTGGTGAACAATTCCTTTTAATTAATGTGAATCCCTCAATTTCGTAGCATAATAAATCACACAATCAATACGTTAATAACTTATCCTGATGGAGGAGTTCATTATTACTATTGTTGAGATTCATTTCCTATTAGGCGAGCACTTCCATTAAAATATCTGTGGGTCCCTTAACCACTGCATGAAAAATCGGATAACCAATACGCCAATAACTTATTCGGTTGGCGAAATTCATTATTATTATTGGTGGGCAAATCCCATCATTTCCTTATCTCTTAAGACAATACATTGTCTATCTATATGAAATGATTTCCGATTATATTTAGCCTTTCTAAAATTACCTAGTGTAGACCACTCCGTTGGGGAGCTAACACTATTGATTTTAGATTGAGTGTATAACGTTATTGATGCTCCAACGAAAAATAAAACATTAAATATCTTGTCATTTTAATCTAGACTCTTTAAATCATGCGTAGAGCCTTATTTTTAAAGATCTAATTATAATGAACATTTAATATTTTTATTTTCATGAGACAACTATTCTTGTAACTTTTAGACTCTTCAAATCATGTGTTGGGCCTTATTTTTGAAGATCTAATTATCATGGTTGTAATAACGAAGGTCATGGGGTAATGTATAAAAATCCCTGCTCCTGCTCAATTTTTAATTAATTATAATTAGGATTTTCAATTTATTCATTTACATGATATAATGCATGCAAAACGTCTCGATTTTAATCTAATTAAATTTAGAAAATATTTGAACTTTAAATGATTCACTAATATTTAATTTGAAGTACACCTTTAAAAAAAAATAAAATATTTTTTCAAAAATATTTTTCCATTTCTCCTGAAGTGCCCTCAAATAATTAGTAATCAAATCTAATTAATTTTCATAATTTAATTAATATAAATCAAGTCATTTAAATAAATATCATGGATCCAATGCATGAACAATAATTAATTAACAATTATCTATTCTATGCATTTAATATATCACATAAATAAATAAATGACAAATAGAAAACAAATAAAATGGCAAATGGATTTAGTTTTTAACATTTAAATGCTCTAATTATTGCACTAGGATCCACCAAAGGCTTGTGAACACCTGCAGAAGCTTGTGCGCGTCTAGATTGGTCAAAACAGCACCTGAAGTAGCAAAACAATGCGTGACACGTGCTTCCACGCGCTGTCAAGCGCCTGAGGAAGCAGTAGCGTGTAGACACGTGCCAGAGAGGTGCGTCAGCGCGTGAGACGCGCCGGCACGCGCCTGCGATGCGCCTACACGCGCTCTGAAGATGCAGCAGCCAGCAGCGCGTGATCCCACGCCCTTATCCTGTAGTTGCGCCACAATTCTTGGCGCGTGAATCCCACTTGCTTCTGGATTAGGTGCGCATGGAGTACCCTTGGTTGCGAAACACCGGATCAATCAACCTCCTCATCTTTATCCAGCGGCTGCTGGTGCGGGCACATATGGATCGCGCCGCACCAAATCGGTAACCATCATTCCGGTGAACACTTGTCGGCGACAAGTCTTCGGTAGCTGGAAAATCACCGAAAAAATCCAGAAAAATATTAAAAAATCTCAGAAAATTAAATTCGGGCCTAAAAAATTCCAGAAAAATTCTAAAAATTCCTAGAAAATTTTCGAAGCCTAATTTAACCCTCTTGGACCTTTTTGAGGCTTCATAATATCATTTGATGAAGATTACATGGCTTTAAATAAATTTTACGCTTGAAATATAATAGAAAAAAATTAATTACATCATTAAACTTTCAAACGGCTAATCAAAGCCTTAATTATGTTCATCCAAAGATAAAATTACATTCAATAACCTATAAGCTTAATCCATGGCCCAAATATACATCATCATCCATTCACAAATATACATACATCATCAAATATATATATATGCATACAAAAATTGGATCCATGAATGATGATTTTCATAAAAAAACATGATCTCTAGTAATAAATCAAACCATGCTCTAATACCATTGTTGGGAAATGTACAAATTTTTAAAACTTTCTAAGGGATTTTCATATATAGATCTTGATTCATCACATAGAGACAAGTTTTATGTAAAAATAAAATATGATGTATCATACAATTAATAGATTGAATACTTACATCAAAGGTTTGAGCAAACCTTAGATCTCTCCTCTAAAGTGAATGTTCTCACTTATTATAGGTCCCTTTGCTAAATGCCTTCCCTTGGATCTCCATCTTCTTGGTAATGATTTTGCCTTTAAGAATCACCCATAAGCCTCCATGAATGACCTTGAAAAACTAAACTTGTAGGAGTCTCCATTAGAGAGAACACTAACCCTAAAATTCTAGAGAGAGAAAATATTCATTTTTCTTCCAAAAGTCCCCCCAAAATATACATAGACCATGTATATATAGACAACATAAAGATAAGAATAAGAAACAATAAATCATTCTCAATCTCTAATTCACATGTCTCAAATCTAATAAGATTCCAATATCAAGTTAGGCTACACTACAAGAAAAATGACTTTTTACCATGGTGGAAAAGGCTTTTTACAACGGTGCAAAACCGTGATAGAAAAATAGACTTTCTACCACGGTGCAAAACGTGGTAGAAAAATAGACTTTCTACCACGGTGCATAACCGTGGTAGAAAAATAGACTTTCTACCACGTGCATAATCGTGGTAGAAAGTGTTATATAATTTTTTTTTTTAAATAATAGTTTAGCCCCTATGAAGCCCCTTTTTTTTTTTTTTTTTTTTTACTACTACCAGTCTTTCAGCTTCACCAAAAGCAAACCCTAAATAAATAAAAAATAACATCATAACCAAAATAATTTACAACTGATACATATATATATATATAACCAATTCCAAATCATTGTTTAATACAAAAATTAACCATATACAAATCTGAAAGAAGTACATGATTCACACCTTATATATTTACTTAACCAAAATAAAACAAAAATTCTTCATATCTTCTTGCAACTTTTTCATGAGCCATACAAAAAATATAGCGGCAACAAAAAAAGTAACTGCAACCGTAACCCGCAATCCTAGCTTTGACCTACAAAGATAGTTGAAGTAAGAGAATTAATGTAAAGCAAGTTGTAAAGTTTCCAAAATTAAACCAAGCAAAGCAAGCATTATAATAAAGGTACTTTGAAGGATCTACTCTTCGTATTAACTCAAGCAAAGCAAGTATTAACATGATCTTAACTCAAGCAAAGCAAGTTCAGTGTGTCAAGGAAATAATTCCAAAGCAAGTATTAACATGGTCTTAACTCAAGCAAAGCAAGTTCAGTGTGTCAAGGAAACAATCCCAGTATTAAAGCTTAAGCATGGCTTATTTAATAGGTGATTGAACGTACACAACCCTTATTGCAGAGCGGTGGCGGCTTATTTAATAGGTGATTGAAAGTACACTCATTAGGCATCATTTCGTTATCCATAACATCGCTTTCATAGGCCGGCAACAACTACTCTTAACAAGACCAAACCTACTACATTGTTATGTGTTTGAGGGCCCTTGAGAGTTGAGAGGCTAAAAACAAATCTTCTATAACACACAAGGCTCCCTTGTGTTCGAAATATTATCTTTCTTGCACCAGAATAATAATTAGGAGATTCTCTATAAGAAACACGAGATTCTACTTCTGGTGGCAACATGCTATTGGATGGTGGTCCAGTTTATGAATGTCAAGATATTGCCGGTCAACCACCAATTAGCAACTTGTGAGGTAAAACTTTATTAGGACACAATCCAATTAGAGCTGTAGCTATGAGTGCTACTGCGCTCTAATTGGCCAAACATTTCTAAGATTGCTAACAAGTCACCTAGCAAATTTCCTGACTAAAAAACTAGACTCACGCATAGCATCAACACACAGCAGATAACAAGGCGCATACATGTCTTATATTATCACATTTTAAAAGCCTGGACGGTGGACAGACAAAAACCAATTTCACATTTTATGGACATATTATCAACTAAGAGACCAGAAGAACATCTATTACTCCGTATGATTTAAGAAATCAGAGAGAGAGAGAGACACACACACACACACAACACATTTAAGTACAAATGAATCGTAAACTCTAAAACTGATCATGACACGGTCGAGGCAATTGGGTCAGGCATGAACAATATCAGGGACTAAGCAATCTACAATTACACACAGATAAACTGTCAATGTGCTACACAATAGAAGGGACTAAACATTCTACAATTACACAATAAAAAATAATAAAAAATGAATTACTCAATGGTCAATGATCTGCTTTCGCCATGAAGAGATCAACAACAACTACAATAGCATTCAGACCTGGTTGTTCATTCAAATCATCCTCTAATATACACATACATACACGTCTAAAGAATAGATATGATAGGATCTACAAATAAAAAGTAATATGAATTCATTTTGAATGCAGTGTTTTCTTATGTCTAACATGTTCCATTTTGCCCGTGGTGGTTACTCCATTAAGCCAGTGTTTTCTTATGTCTAAGTTGTTCCATTTTATCTGTGTTGGTTATTCCAGTAAGCCTGGCACTGTTGCGATTCTAACTTGAACAGTTATGATTTGATGCTTGGTAATTTGGTTTTGTATGCTAATTGTCTTCAGGCGTTTGATTTCCCTGGTGTAGCAATGTTGTAATTTTAACTTGAGCAGTAGGATTTGATGCTTGGTAATTTGGTTTTGTATGCTAATAGCTGCCCACCATATAACTCAGTTCCTTTTTGTTAACAGGACATTTGTTTAGCTCTATTGAGGCCGCTGGGGAGGGCTGTTTTTGTCACTAGCACTAGGAGGTTCGCCCTAGGATTAAGAACCAGTTTACCCTCTACTTTATTGGAACTATAACTTTCTTCCATGGATAAAAGTTACTTAATCACTAACAATAGTTCTAGGTAAAATTTCTTCATATTTAAAAACAAAATTTATAGCTATGAAAAAAATACATGTCGATTAAACCACGCAGTCTAGTCCAAGCAAAGGACGGACACTGGCCAGCTGAAAATGCAGGACCAATGTTCTTTACGCCTCCACCAGTAAGGTCGATCACATAAATCATGTTCTATCATTTCATTCTAGCTATAATTATAATCATAGTTAAATCACATATTATAATCACAGGCTACTTGGGCTGCCTAAATTTACTGCATTGTCATCACTAAAAGTCCAAGCAAAAGGTTGTAGACAAGGAGTTGCCAATGCAGAGATCAAAATTCAGCAGTAAAAAAGCATTTTACGATAGCAAAAATATATAAAGAAACTCATCTATCTATCGGACTTCCGGTTTCCACAAGAAGAAGAAGGACAAAAAAAAAAACATATCTCAAAACATGTGGAGCAGAACAAAACTTCATTTAATGATAAATTTTCTATTACATGTTGGGCTAACCGTTGAAATTGTTGCAATCTGTCTTACACATCTGTGGGGCAATTAATATTGTCCTGACTCCTACCACGAAAGCACAAAAAAGGAGATATGTAGCAACAAAATGAATAAATTAGCAAAAAAGCTGATAGCATGATCAGTTTTTTTTTTTTTTGGCTTCTGTTATAGTAGTTATAGTATGACTCCTGTAGCAGGTTGTAGAATTGCCACTTTTTGTGCTGGTTCGAAAATGTTAGCATGCTCTTCTATTGTACATATTTGATTTTGGTGTTGTATATAGTTGGCTTTAGGTGTAAAGCATGATATGGTGTTAATGTATGGGTTTAGCCTATTTCAGGGTATTAGTTGTACCCTCTTTTATGTGTATACCAACGTAGTTTTTGTGAATTGACTAAGTTTCTACCCATCTGTATAAAGACCTTGGTGTGTAAATGCATCTGTTTCTATGTAAATGGATATCTAGAGACATCTTGCTGATGTTCCTTGTGGGTTTGAATGATGGAATTGATGATAGGGAATTGGAAATTGTTTTGTTGCAGGAAATTCACTTTTCTTTCAATTTTGCTGAAATTCAAAAATTTCTCCAAAGAGCTATATTGATCTAAATGCTTTCAAATTTTTACCACAACTTCCTTTAAGCATCTAGTATTTCTCCATAAAATTTTGTAATTTTTGGATCAGCAGATATTTTTCTAAAAATTCGAGAGTACCAGCTGTCCGAATTTTACATTTGCTGGAAATCAGATTTTACATGAATTATTTGACCAACTTCTTGAGATCGGATCTTTATCAAAATTTTCAATTTTATACTTCCCTAAGTCTACTTTCTAAAAATGAATTTATTGGAAGCTAAAGCAGAAAACTACAAAAGAAGTGAGGAGGAAGGTGTATTTGTGAGAAGTGGACACAATACAGAAGCACTACTCAAGAAAGTATGGTGAGAAGAAGTACAAGTGTGAGAAGTGTTCAAAGAGATATGCGGTTCAATCTGACTGGAAAGCCCATTCTAAAACATGTGGTACTAGAGAATACAGATGTGACTATAGCACTCTTTTTTCAAGGTAGTTAATCCACCCCATTTTTTCTTACTTCAATCATATGCATATAATATGAATAACAACTAATACATAAAAAAAATTTAAGTTGCCAACTTGCATTAACTTCTCCAACAACATATCAACAACTTCTCCTCCACAACAATCAATCAAAACCTCCACATACGATGATCCCATACTCCCATGCTTTCAACATTTTAAAACAAGAAATAAAAATGGCCTCCACACGGGCAGAAGTACCAATAAGGTAATAAAGTTCAAGATATACCACAAAATTGGTCACTTAAAGGCATGTGACCCCCCTGAGTATGAGTATAAAAAGCATTAAAAATGTGCAATCATAAAAGAATTTTATCGAACATAAAGACTATATAACTTACAAATTTTGATGTACTTGATAGGCCATGCAATTGACGCTCTCGTTGTTGTCTTTTCCCAGTCCCTTTGGAAGACTACATTTCAAGTACATGCAAATCAATTAAAGAAAATATAACACCAAAATACACCCTAAGTGGAGATAATTAAATGAAAAAACTCAAAACCAATGATATGCCGATAAAGTGATGCCCTTCTTGCAAGGCCACAGTGACACAACTTGTAACAGCCAACGTTGAAATTACATGCTATGCGAGGGTTAATATTATGTGGACTAGCTCCCTTTCTTCTCCAGAAATATTGTAAATGTAAGGTTTACTAAGTTAGCTTAGTGTTGGCTTCAAGAGTTAGCAAGTTTTTGTAGTCTACATAATGAACCACCTATTCTATTTCATGATGCTGCCAAATGCAAAGTAAATCACAATATCAGCACAAGTGCAAAACAGTAAATTAGTGAGGGCCATGATAACAATTCCGCCTGCAGAAATAAATTATAAATAACAGCAACCTCTTTTGTTTCTATACCAACCATTTATATCTACGCACCCCCAGAATGCAAATTGCAATTGTTTTCAAGCTGAGAAGGCTGTAGTAATCAACAAAAGGCATCTCATTTTTCCTATAAGTAATGATAATGTTACCACTGTCCGTCTAGTATAGCTCTCAACATTTTTTTTTCAGTGTCTCTTTTGACTACTCATGTTGCTTCTTTCCCCTAAGTTAGTTCTCAAATTTCTCAACCAATCTGAAACCTTTTTGAGATAATAAGTTATCTTCCCGGGAAAAAAAATGTTGAGAGCTATACCAGACGGAAAGCTCTCTGTAACCAATCCAATGTCCATACAGAAGAACAGTAAAGAGAGAAATTTACTTCACAAATAGGAAAATAAATTATGCATCTTTGTTTAAGCAATATAAATTAACAGAACCCCAATTCCTTCCAAGAGAAGGAAAACAAAGGAAAAGGGAAATTTTGAAAGAAACTTACAAATTGTGAGTGAAATACAAGAAACCAATATTAAGGGAAGAGAGGAACTGCAAATAGCTTTAATGCTATGCTTTGTGCATCAATGGTGGGCGCCACACACAATCCGTGCTCTATTCTCACAAAAGTTTTCTATTTTTGCAACACACTTGTAAGGCTTTGTTTGTTTTAACATTTTGCCAAAAAGTCGAAGAAAATGAAATCCAGAAATATGGGGTTAATTTAAAAGAGGTTGCACACAATAATTAATCATCTTTGAGAAAAGCTTTTTACTCTTTCTTCCTCGTAAACAGTTAACACACAAAATGAAGATTCCAAATAGGGTTTGGTCTAAGTAGGGCTCATTCCACAATTGTTTTGTGTTTTTACTTTTGTTTTGAGTCGGAGTAGCAGCATTGAACTGTGTTCAATACTATTTGAGTCCGGTTAGTAATACAAGATTTTTAGAAAAAAAATATGAAAACATGTTTAGCAAAAAAAAAAATGTTGCTAGTTTGAAAAATTAAATGGTTAGTTAAAAATATCATTTTAGAATTTGAACAATATTTTTGCTATACGACAGGGAAGTAACTGGATTGAATCAAAAGTTTTTTTTTTAATCAGAATTTCAGTGATAAATAATAAGAACATCCAACCATAATTAGAGAGTTTCAACTAAATATTTGAAAGTCTGGTTAGTAATAAAAGAATATATTTGAAGAGGTGTTTGAATTTAAAAAGGCCCTAACTGAAAGGTTGAGGATTCAAATTAATGAGGACCTGTGGGTGGGTGCTTTTATTGCCAGAAAATAATAATAATAAAAAACAAAATATATGAATTTGGAGTGGAATAGTGCAACAGTTAACAGTTTTAAAAAGGTATTAAAATGTATATAAAAGTTAAAAAGTCCACAAACTTCTAATAGTAGTATATATCAGTGTCTATTTGTAGTAGAATTGAGTTCTGGACCAGAGGCTGAAGCTTGCGAACGGCGAACCCGAACTGGAACAGCGGGCGATGGAAGCTGAAGGATATGGGTTTTGATATTTTGAACAATCTGAATGATGTGCCGATATGGGTTCTGATTCTTGTAGATTTTGTAGTTTGCAGTTGCAGAGACAGAGAGAGGGAAAGTTCAGAGTTGAGAAATAGAATAGAGATGGAGGCGATTTCAAGTTTCCACTGTAAACAGAGTACCATTTTCCATTTGTTTGCCAGGAAACATGAGAAGGAAAAACAGAAAGTACAAATCAAAATTTAAATCTTATGCCTTTTATTATTTTAGGATGTTAGAAAAACGAAAAGCCCATCTCAATCAAGCTAAATATAGTTTAATAAACCTCGAATTACCAAAGATACATACTTGGGTACCAAATGAATGAAACCCTAAAATGCGAATTTTCAATTCATTTTCTTTTCCCCATTTTCCCAGCAACTATACGAGCAATAACATTCAAGAACAAAAGAGAAACAACATTCAAAGATTAGACAAGTCACTAGTCTTACCTTCACGACACTACACCACAACTACCGCTTCTGGGTGGCCGATGTGGATTCGGTGGTGCGACCTCGCTGGAGACGCTTGAGGGTTTGTGGGTGATTCAAAATCATCATCGTCGTCGTTATTCAAAATCATATCTGATATGCCGATATGGGTTCTGATTCTTGTAGATTTTGTACTTTGCAGTTGCAGAGACATAGAGAGGGCCGAGTTGAGAACGAGAATAGAGATGGAGGGAATTGGGGAGGCTGAAATGATTTTGCCCTAAAAAATTGTATGAGTGTGGACTGTACATGTGAGTAAAAATATTTTTAAATTTTTTTTTTAAGAAACTAGCTGGAATAAGACCCGCGGAGAAGCAGGTGAAAATAAATTCACTTTCTACCAGAATTTTCTATTAACCGTGGTAGAAAAAGGGATGAAAACAGTGAAATAAATTTACTTTTTATCACGGTTTTAAAATAACCGTGATAGAAAGATCTGTCTAAATTACATTAAAAATAATTCACTGCCTATCACGATTATTTATAACCATAACCGTGGTAGAAGAATACACTTTCTACCACGGTTATTTTAAAACCATGATAGAAAGTAAATAACTGTGGTAGAAAATGAATTATTTTTTATGTATTTTAGGTGAGTCTTTCTACCACGGTTATTTTAAAATCGTGGTAGAAAGGATCTTCTAGATAAAAAAAAAGTATGGTAAAAAATTGTTTTTCTTGTAGTGCTATGAGTGAGAATCATTTGGGCTTATTATTTTATTGGTTACAATGAATTAATAATTGACCCGATCCGTGGACCCAATACAATTAATTCATAAATTAATTTCTACTCTACTAAAAGAAATTAATTAAACTCCAATTAAATAATAAATAATCTCTAAGTCAATGTTACATTTTAAACCCTCTATGCATAATTAGTTATCGGATAAATAAAGCCATCAATCCGACTACTTAATTAATATATTTATTTTGGTACCTTTGATTATTTCTGGCTCGATCACAATAAAACATTTGTTTGACAAAAATAATAATTTAAATAAATAAATATATAATAAATCATTTTGTCTAAAAACACACGAAGACCTTCGAATTTACTTTGTGATCAACCATAATCAATACAAAATAAATACAAGTAGCAATGATGCAAATATTGAAAATATAACCCTCTAACTATTAATTACATAATTACCTAAAGTACCGGTCTAAGGATTCCAAAGATTCCACCGAACAAATCAAAGTAATTACTAATTAATGAAAGAGTCTATACTTCTCTCATGCTTAAGAGTCAAATACCATGACGGTAATATGGAGCAATTGAATACGACGGCTCTAGCAATATCTCAACCTAACGCGGATCCAGTTCAAGTTTTAGTTAATAATGAGTCCATCTATAATTACCGATTATGAACAATTTATGATTACTATTTATATTAATGTATTGATCTCCATCACATACATATATAAATATCTCTTATAATTAATCAAATGGACACTATTAATTCCATAATGAATCGAAACATAATACATTGAATTCACCAATTATATAGATCATAAATATTTCAGATATATCAGGAACATATGTTACTATAATCCAAATAGAAATTTGCTATGCCAAGGCATATAAATCCCAACAATTTATGCATTTAAGCAGGTTGTTGTAGGATCCTTTTTAGTCGAAGTCATGCCAAATTATATTTTTTTATTATTTATAATTGGTATTATTTTAGGATCGTTACACATGCATTCACTAATATTATTTTATTAAATACAACATCTACATAATAAATGACACATGCATTATATATATATATATATAAGGCTTCTGTAAATCGGCGCATCAATAGGGATGTAATTGAGTGGACTTAAGAAAAAACTTTTTTAAAAAAAAAAAAGAAGAAGGAGAGAGAGTAGAAAAAATGGAGTCCTCAGTCCATCGATATTCTTTACTTTATTCCTCTAATTTATTTATTTTTTTCTGGAAGTTTATCGCTCTAAAATTTTGAAAGAGCAAAAAAAAAGAAAGTGAGAAAACAAAGAAGAGAGAAAAGGAGCGAGGGAGGTCAACGAGGAATTATTGGGTGATCCGAGGGCAGATCTAACGTGGTGCACTATATTTGCTTATAGATCCTTCTTGTTATAATAGTTTATTGAATATACCTACAAACTTTTGTAAATTATAAAAAGACCCTTACATAAAAGTTTTTCTTGGAAAATCATCTTCACCAACTAACTGGGCCAGTCTGAGAAAACAATTTATATGAGTTAAAGAAAAATCTTTTTCCCAATCAATTGTAAGACAGATTTGGATGCAAAGTTTTTTAAGCTCTTCAGTCATGGCTGTGTTTTCAGCTATAAGTGAAGTAAGAGTACTCAGGTGTTGTTGCCTGAATTTCTTATTTGCACCGATTTTGTGCATTTTCCAAACACTATTAATTTCATTGTAAAAATTGTTTGGAAAACTAGGGTTATAGAAGTCGTTAACCTCTATTTGCTCCAGTAGTTGTGAAAACATTTTTTGGGAGACTTTACTCACGTGATAGAAGACTGTTTGGGCTTCTATAAGTGTGTCATAAGCCTTAAAGCATGAGCCAAAAAATGATCGCAACTATTTGTGGCAATCGTTCAATTTTGAATAGATTCCTGGTTGGTGACCAGCAAATACCACAAACCATTTGTTAGGTTGTGATGAAGTTGGTTTATCGATCGCCTTTTTGGTGATAGTGATCCAACCTTCTTTATCGGGAGGAGGATTTTTGCCTTGATCACTCGTCTGTGTTCAAAGAAATATCTTGGTTAGATACTTCATTATAATTTCTGCTTAAAAAATCTGCTAGAAAATTGTTAGTACCTTTAATATGTTCAACAGAAAAAGAGTACTGGGCAATAACGTTATACTATTTTAATCGTCGTCCTTCTAAACAATTCTTTGTGTTTATTAGGAAGTCCTTAACTGCTTGATTATCAGTTCAGATAAAAAAATCTTTTGGTGCGTGATAAATATGAAATCTTTTTATTGCCAATTTAATTGCTAGAAGTTCTTTTTCGTAAATAATATAATTCTGTTCGTTTGGTTTAAACTTTCCAGAATTGTAACCACAAATCAATTCTTCTTTTTGAAGATTTTTTGGGATAGGAGTTTTTCGGGCCCTTATTTGATGATTTTAGAAAATGGGTTCACTCCACTTGTCTTATGGAATAGCTTTTAACACGCAACCCTAACAAAAATCTGAGGCGTCAGTTTCAAGAATAAGTTTATCTTCATTTTGGAGAAAATAAAATTCAGGGATGTGGACCAAATCATGTTTGATTTGTTGGACAACCTTTGTGTCGTTATCGATCCAGTTAAAAAGTTATTTTTCTGTAGCTTCTTTATTAAAGGGAGCTCTTTTTGAGACAGGTCTTTAATAAAGTTGCAACCATAATTCAAGATTCCTAAAAAACTTTGTAGCTGCTTTTTATCTTGAATAACATCAGGAAAATCATGAATTTTTATAATAATGTGATCTTGTAGTTTGATACCTTAGTGGGTTAAAACCAGGCCAAGGAAATCAATGGATTCCTGTTCAACATCTATCTTTGTTGGAAATAGAATAATTCCATAGTTTTTCAGTTTTTCTGAAAGACATTGGAGATGTTTTTGGTGCTCATTTCTTGTTTTAGAGAAGACCAGAATATCATCGATGTATACAACTACAAAATCTTTAAGGTCATTAAAAATCTTATCCATCCATCGTTGATAGATCTGAGGTGCAGTATTGAGACCGAATGGCATGACAGTCCACTGATAATGACCTCGTGGTGTGCTGAAAGCAGTTAATGGCTTGGATTTTTTATGTAATTTTATTTGCCAAAATCCTGCTTTACAATCAAACTTGCTGAAAATTTTTGCTCCGCGAGTTTGATTAATGAGAACATCTTTTCGAGGAATAAAATAACTATCGAAAATTAAATGTTCATTAAGCCTTTTATAGTTGATTACCATGCGAGCTTTACCTCTTTTGACCTCACTATGGTTTCTTACCATAAAAGCAGGATTACTATAAGGACTTTTGGTTCATTCAATGAGCTTCTTTGCAAGAAGATCTTGAAGTTGATCATCAAATTCGTCTATATCTTTTCTGAGATATATCATAGGTTTAACACGAATGATGATGTGAGCATTCTTGAGTTTTAACCTGCAAAATCGAGGACTTCTATTCCACAGATTTAAAGGATTGTCAGAGAAATTTTGTCTCAAAATAGCGTATAACCAATGAGATTCGTTTAAGACAAAAAATTTCATTATTTTCTCTTTTTGGGGGAGAAAATTTTTCATTACAAACAGAGGCTAAATTTTCTTGAATCAAAATTTCAACAACTATTTTGTATTTTAAAGTTAAAGAATTTTTTTTTTCGTTTAACTGTAAAAGAAGATAACTGTAAATAAAGTTATATCCTAGAATGACATTCATTAGAGCTTCTACATCTTTTTGTCATTTAACCAAATAGCAATATCTTTTGCTTGAAATTGAATGACATTCATTAGAGCTTCTACATCAATACCTTGGACAGCAATGGGATGTTTCATTGGCCGCCATTTCTCTGATGGTATGGCGTTATATTGACAACAACTGGTTGTTGCCCCAGTGTCAATGAGAATGCAAAGATTGTATAATTTATAGCCTTTAAAGTTAAGGATACCATTGACATAGGTATACTTTCGCTTTTTTCCTTAAGAATGAGCGATAAGGATTTCATCGTTTCCGTGTTGAAAATGAAAAAATCGTGCAGACTTCATGGATTGATTAGATCTAGGAAGGAAAGGTACATCAATGGTAGCTTTTCCTTTTTCTGCCCATGTAAACCTTCTTAGTGGAGGTAGTAGGTCGGAGGATTGAACGTTGGATGTCCGTGGAGGAAGTAATTTGTCCCATCCAGATGGTTCTTTAGATATACGTGCTGAGGGTGATTTTTGCAGCTGTGGTTTCTCTTTATTGGTCATATAAAGATTTGAACGGGAGGCTTGAATAGTGGTAACAGTAGGTTCAACTACTCTGATTTTATGTTCCGAATTGATGTCTTCGAACAACCAATTTCTGGGGATTTTCAGATCTGTCCATTTCAATAATTTTGGTTCAATTACTGAGTCAAAGGGACGAGGTTCGAACAAAGTGACTAGTTTTGAGTCAATAGTAGGAACGGTAGCAGTCTCGGGTTTATGAGTAAGTTCGTAAAGAATTGTCCATTGTATCCCTAAACTAGGAGAATCAAAATCCATTTTGAGATTTGGAAGTTGAAGTTTGACTTGGAGAACTTTCTCAATATTTAGGTCATTGAGGGAAACAAAATAATTGGGTTTGATTTTGAACCAAATTACATTGTTAACAAGATTGGATTGAATACCACCGATGAAGGCATCAATGGGATTATGGAATCTATTATCCATAACGAGAGCTAGAATGGGTTGATCAGTTCCTTTACGAAATAGAGAAGTAATTTTGATCTAAACCATTCTGATATGAATATATCGTGCGATAGGATTCTGGTGTCGCCAACGTGCAACCTTGTCGTTGTTGAGGATATTGAATCCATCTTTACCGCTAGAGGTGTAATCTATAGTGGTATCACTGCTGAACTGTTCAAGAATCCTTTTTGAAAATATTGAGAACTTGGAAGTTTTGTAGACTTCTTCTTTCTTTAGCTTCTGGAGTTTAGCGAATTGAATGAGTTGTTCGTTCGTAAACTGGACTTCTTCACCAATAACACTGTTGAGTTTAATGTTAGAGGATTCAGCGTCTAGATGAGAAGTGAACTGCATCATACAGACTTCTTCATCGCTATCACTGGAGTCTGAGAATTGACTAGAAATTTCGTAGAGAATATCGTCTGAATCGGAGAGGTCGTTGCCATAAACAACACAAAGATCTTCTGCGTTTAGGTGCTTGATCATTTTGGATGCACTTTTACCTTTTTGGGGGAATTTGATGCAATATGACCAGGTTCATTACAAATGTAGCATTTGCAATCTTTCTTTATCTCAGGAGCCTTTTTTCCCTTACGGTTGCTTCATTTCGAAGTGGATGATGTGGAAGAAGTTGGTTTAACATACTTCTTTGATTTTTGAATAGGCTCTTTACCTTTCTTCCATTGGTGCCATTTGAAGCGTTTCTTCTTGTAAGAATGCCGTGTGGGGGTAGATTTGCTAGATGCGCAACCAACCTTCTAGGTTTCTTGAAGAATTTTGTCGCAACAACGCTGTCCGGCTGGAGTGTTGCTGATTTGATTCTTCACTTGTTTTTTGGCTTTGGTTTCTAAACATTTTTCGTTGATAAGATGATAAATGAAATTGGTACGAAAACAAAGGTTATCGGTTCGTTTGATTCGGACAAGAAAGTTTGGGTACCTTTGATGGCTAAATTTGTGCTTTGTTTACTACTATAAATCTCATACATTTGATCACTGTTTAAAGCCCATATTTCCTGTTTAGCTTGTTAAAGTCTGTGCGACTATTTCAAAAGCTTTTATCAGGAATCTCTGGTCTTAAGCACCTTAACAGGAATCAAATGGTCTTAAGAACCTTTAACTATTTCTCATGGCACAAACCACCTCTGTACCTTGTATCAGTAATCTAGTTGGTGAAAACTTTAGTAATTATTCACATAAACCACATTACGTAGCTTCAGAACCCATCAATCTTACCATGATTGGTGCAGGAATGAATTTTATTATCGATATGATTCATGATTGGAAACACAACTTCCAACAGAGTCTAGATTCATCGACTGCTCAAACAGGAACAACAATTAAAGATCTACAGCAAGGATTAATCTCCGTAAATGATAAACTGGAAGTACACACACAGTACCTTCAGAACAATGAGACTCAGGACCTAAAACCCCAAATGCGTCAAATGACTGTTGATTTAGAAAAATTAAAAAAATTAAAGTTATTTGATCTTTACCCTCCTGATAATTTACCAGATAAAGTAGATAAACAATCTACTCCTACACAGAAAGTAGATAACCAGTCTACTTCTACTCAAACCATATACAAGGTAAAACCCCTTTTCTATGGTAATGAGGATATTAAAGTACTTAATGAGAAACCCTCATCAAGCTACAATAAAGAAGAATATGATAACATCGTAGATTTTCTTAATTGTCTACGAGTGATGTACATAAACCCTCAACTATCTATTGATGAAAGCACACATATCATCAACCAGATACGAGAAACTTCTATACAAAATGAAGATCTCCTTACACACTTAGGATATAATTTCAATATTTCTGACAGTGATACTGAATCAGAAGAACAAATACATGTTTTCTTTGATCAATCTGATATAGAAGAATTTAACAATTCTGATGGCTCAGAATCTGTTGATGAAGAAATATAAGCTGACTCACAGCTCGAAATATCTTCCTCTCATAGAAGAAAAAGAGTTTCTGACACTATTTTAGATGAATCATTTTACGGTGATTTTCCTATCACAGAAGAAATGCATCAAACAGAAGAAACTAACATTCCAGCCTCTAGTATACTTGCTGAATCTTCTAAAGCCGCAGAAAAACAACCTGCTGCGTCTGCTACGTCCTATAATTGTGATTATATGACCTTTCCCACCTTTACCCGTAAGGATGACCTCAATAAGTATCACATTTCACAAAATGGTACTTATCTTGATTTTACTAATGTCCCCTATAAAGATCATCTCAAAGCTATAGATGAATGGGCACAATCCTTAGCCATTCTGGTAAATAACCAGAAAGCTTCTTGGGAAAAGATTGATTTCTCGATTACATTGCAGCAACCTTGCAAGGTGATGCTCTTGATTGGCTTCGCCAATGGGATCAGATAGCCCAAGGCAAGGTCCAAAAGGGAGACCTCCTTAACAACTTTCACGAGATACCAGATATTCTACGTGGCTTTGTTAAGATCCTTAAAGAAGAACTCGTTGGACATACTGGCGAAGTACTCCTTTCCAACGATGCTATTTTCGCTCTTTCTAAAATTGAATTATGCGACATTTGCCGTTTTCCCGAATATGTCAAGATATTTAGCAAATACTTTCGACGTCTTCCTCCAAATGCTAGGATATTGCCAATGCCTAAAGTCCCATCAGTATCACTTATAGCTGAAAACACAGCCATGACTGAAGAGCTTAAAAAGCTTTGCATCCAAATATGTCTTACAATTGACTAGGAAAAAGATTTTTCTTTAACTCATATAAATTGTTTTCTTAGACTGGCTAGTTAGTTGGTAAAGATGATTTTCCTAAAAATACGTTTGCAAAAATCAATCGAGATTAATTTGGTCTGCTCCTGAAATGATTTCTTCAGGCACATGAATTGTATTCTGCAGAATTGCTTTTAGAAATTCTTTAGAAGAATCAATATGATGTTCAAAATATTCAGGATAGAACATCATCAGATTGGTGATGAAGAGGCTGCGTCCATCACAAACCATAGACCTGGGAGGTTCATTAATGCTCCCATTTAGAATCTGGCGAGCTTTGTCTTGTAGGTGAATAAGACTGTGGATAGCAAGATCATAGGAGTTTATTTGTACTGCTATCTGTTCTGAATTAAGAAGTGGGTGATGTTCGAATTCATCATCTTTGGGATGGATAAGATCTTTAATGACCTTAAAGATTTTGTAATTGTATACATCCATGATATTCTTTTTAAAAATTTAAATGTGATACACAGTAATTTAATATGGACTTATAGATTTCTTATAACAAAAGATCTTGTATAAATTTCTTTTAACAAAATAGTATAGGTTCTGATACCAAAATAAATTTAATGTCGTATCAAGCTAGAAGCACGGGCAAGTATGAAATTGCTAGATTAAATTTAAGGCTGTTTGTACTGGTTAGATATATTCAAGAAAGGATGATTGCTAAATTAAAATATTATAGTTTACAATGATTGAAGCCTTTTTCTCTCTGCTCTTTGCTAGTTTTGGCAAGTATCAACAAACTTGGAATGCTCAGTAAATACAATAATCCATGTTTATGAGATGATTACCATTATTTAAAGAGAAGTGCCATAAAAAAAGGAAGTTCATCTTATCACTGCACATAGACAACATAAACAATTCAAACACATACATGTTTTTGCAGTGAGGTGCCATAAAAAAAGGAAGTTCATCTTATCACTGCACATAGACAACATAAACAATTCAAACACATACATGTTTTTGCAGTGAGGTGCCATAAAAAAAGGAAGTTCATCTTATCACTGCACATAGACAACATAAACAATTCAAACACATACATGTTTTTGCAGTGAGGATCTATATCACTGCACATAGAACCTCACTTTGACATAGCTTGTAGTTACCTAGCTTCCGTTATCGATCGTCCATCTCTTCCAAGGAGGACTCATCTATCACACTCAGAACAGCGCCATTCTTACCGTTATACGTTGTAGCAGCAAATAAATATGCAAAAAGGTTGACAATCCCAATTCCAGCTAGTAACCAGTAAAAGTAATCTAGCCTACTTTTGTTAAGATCATTCCTTAGCCACCCCTCTTCGCCACCAGTAGAAATCTGTACCATCTTCACCAGCAGAGAGGCCAATGAATTGGATAGCGATATCTCCGTCAAGAAAATGGCATTGGTCACACTTTTCGTGCCCTCGGTCGCTTGATCATAGAAGAACTCCATAAGCCCAACATAGGTGAAACTTTCACCAGCACCTACTAGGGCGAACTGAGGGTATAACCAAGACACATTCATGGTTGATGGGTCATGGTGGTCGCGCCTTTTCTTCTCTACGATGGCAGCTACAACCATGGAGAGGATTGAAAATACCAGGCCCACGAATACACGCTGTAGCGAGGTAATGCCTCGGGGTTGGCCGGTGAGCCTGCGGAGGAGCGGAACCAAGAGTCTGTCGTAGATGGGGATGATGACGAAGACACTGAGGAGGCCGAAGATGGGGACGCTTCCTGGTGGGATGGTGTAGTGTGAGGTGACTTTGCGGTTCATGATCATGGCTTGGCCGAGGAAGAAGCCATGGAGCTGAGAGAAGGGAAGGAAGATGACTATGGTTGTTAGCCATATTGGGAAGATTCTGATGAAGGATTTGAACTCTTCAACTTGTGTCACTGTGCACAGCCTCCACCGGTTGTTCGTGTTGGCTGCTTCTTGTTCTGTTGTTATAGCAGCTGCTTTATCCAAGAATCTAGCCAAAAAAATATATATGTATATATATTTGAATTGTGAGTAATGGTTTTATATAATGGTTCTACACCAAGAGTGTTGTCAGACAACACAAGTATCACATGTGTGCACCATTGCATGTGATGTTTGTCAGCTATCAAATACAGTATTACACAAGTATACAGATATAGTCACAAATGTCAAGGCTGTTAATACCATTACACTATAAACGACTGTAAATTTTTATTAGTATTAGTTGTCTTGTGCATTATATGTATGCCAAAAATTATCAAAAAAAAAAGTATACAACACCCCATAGATATTTTACATGTTTCTTTTAAAAAATTATCTATTTCGTGTATATTAAGGTAAACTGAAAGTTTTTACGATCATGTATGGAACAATTATGACGTGCAAGTAACCCTATTGTACACGGACAAGTGCAAAAAATACCTCTAACGTATATTACGCATAGCAAATTTACCCAATATTTAAAAAAAGTGCAAAAATCACCCATATTCCTTTCACATTGTGTGAAAACACCTCTCAATTAAAAATCTGACATAAATTAGTATTGTAATACATGTTTTTCCTTTTTACTCTTCCGAAAATGCCTAATGGAGTATATATACTATTAATCTCATAGTAGAGGAGTGTTATGTGCACATGAAATGCAATATATATATATATATATATATATATTTGGAATTATTGAATTATGATTAATTCTTTACCAAATTAATGCACACGAAATGCAACAATCAATTATTTATTTATTCCGGGTAGAAATTGTCAAAAAATTTCTATGATATATATTTTTAAATTCAATTTCATTTGAAATTATTTTTTACTTCAACATAAAAAATCCTAGCATAAATACAAAAATCGTGCCAAAATAAATATATTGAGACTATAAATAAAAAAGAATTTATTTATTATTGCATTTCTGTGCAATAATTTTGGTAAAGAATCACAATTCAGTAATTCCAAAGGTAACAATTATAAAGAATTCAATAATTTCAAAAATAAATAAATAAATATTGCATTTCATGTGCACATAACACCCATCTATTATGAGATTAGTAGCATATTACCCCTTTGCGGTTGGTTGCACAAAGTTATTTTCAGTTATTTTACAAAATGATGTTATTTTTAATATATTTGTTTTATAAAATGTCAAGGTAAGGGTATTTTGGTCTAACTCTACTTTAAATATGTTGGTAGGAGCTATTTACACAAATTTGATACATTAGGGTGTTTTTTTACAATCGAGAGGTGCAATATGCACTGTAAGCATAATATATGAATGTTTTCTGCAATTGACAATAATTTATGTTTGTCCACAAAAATAAATAAATTAAAAGCTTCCTTTCTAGTTATTCAAGTGATAATTAAAAATTATATATATGTATATATAAGTTAGATGACTTTTGTTACATGTAGTGAATGTGATGACTAAGGTAAGTATTTGTGAGTGACTAAGTGCATTAAACATTTTCAAGTTATACAACATAAAAAATTTCGATGAAGAAGAGTGAGTAGTAGTATAAATATTTTCAAGTTAGGTTAGAATACTAACTTGTATTGTTGAGAGTGTGTAAGCTTCCGAGTACCTTTTATATCGGACTCTTTAGTGCTAACCTCGTAGAGCTTTACATGAGGTCCCATTTTGACCCCATTTTTATGGTTCCGAAATGAGGCAACAATGACCTGACAAAACCTGCCAAGAGCACTTCCCAGAGGCCTCCTATAACGGTAGAACCGATAGCCGAAGGCGAAGAGGAAGACCGAGAAGATGACCGCTGCAGCCGGAACTCCAAACCCCCAGACCCAACCTTTGTACTCTCTTACGTGCACGAGGAGGGTGATGGCAATGACTGCACCCATGTTGATGAAGAAAAAGAACCAGTTGAAGTATGAGTACTTCAGTTGGACTTCTTTTTTATCGGTCTCGTCGAATTGGTCCGCCCCGAAGATGGAGATGGAAGGCTTCATACCGCAGCCTCCTATTGTTGAAATAATTGTTGTCGCATACAGGAAGAATGCTTGAAAATTTGTGGCCTCTCTGCATACTTCTCCATTTTGTGGGTTGCATGGAGGTGGATGCAATGCATCTAACATGGGTATGAGTACCAACATGACGCTTCCCTAAGATATATAGTCAAATCATATCCAGAGAAAGAGAGAGATTAGTCATTGTCCCATACGAAAAATTTTACAATATCCCCAGATATCATACCAAAGTCCAGCCAACTCATATGGGGGGGGGGGGGGGGTGGGGGAGAGGAATAATGTACATAGTGGGAATTTTTCATAATTTCAGTGGAGGAATAATGTACATAGTGGGAATTTTTTCATAATTTCAGTGGAGGCAATTTCAAAAATTTTTAGATATAAATACAAAAAAAGTATAAATTTAGAGATATAAAATGTAAAAATAAAAAATTTCAAATTCAGGCTTACCCAAGTCTCCCACCAAATCGATGATTCAACGAGGGGGGGATTTCGAGTATTTTAAAACTTCTCGTCTTATATAGTACATAGTGGGAATTTTTCATAATTTCCGTGGAGGCAATTTCAAAAATTTTTAGATATAAATACAAAAAAAGTATAAATTTAGAGATATAAAATGTAAAAATAAAAAATTTCAGATTCAGGCTTGCCCAAGTCTCCCACCAAATCGATGATTCAACGAGGGGGGGATTTCGAGTATTTTAAAACTTCTCGAGTATTTTAAAACTTCTCGAGACGAGAAGTTTTAAAATACTCGAAATCCCCCCCTCGTTGAATCATCGATTTGGTGGGAGACTTGGGCAAGCCTGAATCTGAAATTTTTTATTTTTACATTTTATATCTCTAAATTTATACTTTTTTTGTATTTATATCTAAAAATTTTTGAAATTGCCTCCACTGAAATTATGAAAAATTCCCACATATATATGTAAGGGCGGGCATTTAACAATCTTATAGTATATAAGACGAGAAGTTTTAAAATACTCGAAATCCCCCCCTCGTTGAATCATCGATTTGGTGGGAGACTTGGGCAAGCCTGAATCTGAAATTTTTTATTTTTACATTTTATATCTCTAAATTTATACTTTTTTTGTATTTATATCTAAAAATTTTTGAAATTGCCTCCACTGAAATTATGAAAAATTCCCACATATATATATAAGGGCGGGCATTTAACAATCTTATAGTATACATATAACTCATATAACTACTAAAATGTCCTTTCTACAATTGAAATAAAAATAGTAAAAATTCAAATAATATAAAATGATTATTATGACATTTCTTAAACAAATTAAGAAGGGCATTTTCGGTATTAAAATAGTAAAAAATAGTCAACAAAATTCAATTATTGTAAAAATTCAATTAAAAATAATAATAATAAATACAGTCAAGGGCATTTTTGATATTTAAAATAATTAATTAGTCATGTGCAAGACACATGATTTGTTAACCCTATAGTGTACGACCCGACACGGAACAACAAATTCAATCTCAAAAAATGAAGTTGGAGAGAGGCGATAGAAAATTGGAACTGTTCACAGTCGAAAAACCCGATTTTACAATATTTTTAAAATTTTAAGAGAATTATATACCCAAAGTATAAAGAGTGGGGTCTTATTTGCCGTGTGTTTATATACTTATAGCTCTACATATAAATATAAAATTGGAGTGATGTTTTGGTGCTTCTTACCAACGCATGGATAATAGAGAAATACAAGATGATTTTGAAGCGGCCGAGAAAAGCATCAGCCAGGTATGCTCCGATGATTGTGAAGGCAAATGCAAAGAATCCATTGAATACAGATGCGTTAGAAACTGCATCAGGGAGTGAATAGTGCATCACCATTGTCCAGAAAGCTGTACTGTTCACCCCAACTGCGAAACCCGCCATCTTCTCCGCCATTTCACTCACTGGAACACACTAACATTCACCATTAACCATTACCATTCATATATATATATATATATACACACACATTTATAGTTAATTTGACAAGATTTTTAAACCTAAGAAGAAAATAAAAAGAGAGACCTATGATGAATGGCGCGGCCTTCCATCCTCCGGTGCTGTGCTTCTCTGCAACTCTCCCTTTATAATCAGTACAACCATTGTTGACAAGATTTGTAATTGATTCGTCTTCATTCTACAAAACCAACCCTTTATCAGTTGATACATATATCTTGAAAGATATATATATATATATATATGACATTTGGTGGCATATATATTTCAATTAGTTTTACCTTCTTGTTATTCATGATTCCATCCAATACTGGTGACTTGATCGAAATAAGATCCTCACACAGCTGATCTACCTGGAGGTCCCTGTATCTATTCATGAAAACAGATTAAATAGTTGATTACTAGTCAGTGCTGGAGAGAGAATAACTGGCTACTCCGGAGGTACCCAATAATATAAATTGTCACTATGGAAAAAGATCTCCGATTCCTAGCTTCTTCGACTAAATTAATTAATTAAATAAAAATCTTGAAAGAGATAGAATCTTTTATAATAAGGTAAAGTTTAATTGTAGTTATAAACCCCAATTAAAGTAGTGATATGATGGTTGGATAGTATTTTTAATAAGGCATGCACAGGTATCATGCAATTAAGTGTGTGCATCTTTTTCTTCCTTTCTTTATAAGCTCGGTATGATACACAAACAGCAAAAAAAAAAAATTGTGGATATAATCATCTAATATTTAGAGTTGTTGAAAAATAATAATAATAAAAATAATCTAAATGAAACAATATATCACACCTTAATTATTTGTTTTCAAATAAAGGAACAATCTTTTCCATTCATTATTCATTATATATATATATATATATATATATATATATATATATAAATATGTATATCGACCCCACAACACACACACACCATTCAAGTCACAAGTGTAATTCGAAAGCGAAATATCAAGAACTTACCTCCCAGATCCTTACCAACGCTCGCTGTGCCTGTGGAACATTCATTATTCATTATATAATGACCATTTTAAGTGGTCTATATATGAAAGAACATAATTGAATGTCATTTTGCAGGCATTTATCTTTCAATTGAATAACTTCTTCAATTAGTTAAACTGCTTAATTTTACTTCTTGTTCTTTTTTTTTTTTTTCTTTTCTTTTATTGGTGAATATTTAAATCCGATTGTGATTGTTAATATCCTGGGAATAAATTTTCCCACAAAACAAAATGAATTTACAATATTTCATCATTGGTGAAATTAATAAATGGGAACTGTAAAATAATAGAAATGGTACATACCTAGCAAGAGAGTCTTTGAGGAGCCCCCTCTTAATTAGTAAAGTTTTATGGTGTTTATTTCATCTTTCTGTATAATTACTATCAGACCTATATCTGCATACATTTATATGTGTGTTGGCCTTGAAGTTGAATCCATATATCGAATGTTTTTATTTAGCAATTACAGCTTATCAGAGCTTAATTAGGGAGTAAAAACTGTACAGTTTATACCACATAAGTTATAGTCACAACGAGCTATAAATTAGAAGGCCAGAGAACTGTATTTGCATGGAGTGACGTGTACTCAATTATAACAAGGACTTGCCTTCGGCAAATTTCATATCGGTGGAGTTGAGGTTTATTAATCTAACTTTTTCTAAAAATATTTTTAGACAATTTTAAATGTGAAAGGTCAACAATGTCCTTAATTATAACAAAGATAAATTACATCACATGTGACGACCCTGGTTTTCAAGCTAGTGCATCCTGTGATGAACCAAAAATTGACCCGATAGCGGATCCAAAAGCAGAAGTAAGAAATAAGACAGCGGTCTCCCAAGGCATAACACACCTCTAAGACACTTTGATGACCTTCCATGAAGTTGTGGAACTCAATGAGAACTAACGCGGAAGCAAAAGATCGAAAAAATAACAATTTAGCACCTAGGGCCAAAATAGTCATTTTACATTGAAATGACGTCCCTAGAATGTATATCATTCCCGAGATACATCCGTGACTTCCCATGAAGTCATGGAATTCAAAAGAAAGTAGCGGAAGCGGAAAGCAAGAAAAACCGGACAAAAATAGCCCCAAGGGCAAAATAGTCATTTCTGAAAATATGGATTCGGGTGCCACCGAGTACACCGCTGGAAAGAAAATGAAAAACTAATCAAGATGGACTCAAGAATCGCATGATTCGGAGTCCGGACAAAGGAGAAACGGCATGACAAAGAAAAACGAGCACTTAAGGCTAAAAGGGTAAACTGATAATTATTCAGGAAGATCCGGGTACAATCAAGCACACCGTTGGAAAGACAGCAAAAAATTAGTCAATTTCAAAAAAAAAGTTCACTCAATTGTACCCGGATTTGGAGTCCGGATGAAGGAGAATGAGCGAAAACAAGAATCGACGTCACGACGTCGAGACGAGCACCCCACGAGCATCTTGACATGCTAGGGGAAAAAAAAAAAAAAGGCTCAGCCAGAACTGAGAGCCAAAACGAGATCCGAAACGACTTTCTGGAAAAACACAAAGAAGAAACCCCCCCCTAAAATCGAGTTTTCTAACCGACAGTGTGAAAGAAAATGAAAAAAACTCACTGTAAAATACCTAAAATGCCCCTAGATCAGAAGAGGTCAAGAGGGCCAAAAAGAATTGCTACAGCAACTGTCGACATCTGAGAGCAGAAACGGGCTATCAAACGAATTTTTTTGAAAAAATACGAAGAAGAAACCCCTACCAAAATCAAATTTTCTACCTGATCATGTGTGAGAAAATGAAAAAAACCCACACTGTGAAATGGCCAAAATACCCCTCGATCATAAAAGGCTTAAAAACTCAAAAAGTGCAACTTTACACCAAGTATGCATTTGACCCTAAATGCATTTCTAGGTTGAAACGAATGTGCACGCAAGTGTAATAAATGATTTTAAGGGCACAGGAATACTCCGCGGCTCCCGAGAAGCCCCGACTCAAAATCCGACCCCCCGACGGCCAAATATGAGAAAAATGGACTTGAAATGGAATATTTGAAATCCAAAAATATGAAATGGAGTCAAATTACCGTTTGACCCTTGGTCACACTTCATACATATTTAATGAGACCCTATGAAAGAATAAAAGCGAAATTCCCACACCCGATGCAAAAGTAATGAAGTAATGACTTATGAATTTTCAATATTTTCATAACATTTCATGAAATCAAGAATTACATAAGATGCAATATAAATGTCATTGGCCTCTGGCCTTATCTCACACAAGTCAAATACATCGTAAAAGGTATACTTATGTACACATTACATATATGGAATCAAAGATACAAGTTTAGACATCTAAGGCTACAAAATGACATTTCATGTTAACATTTGCATGAAATGGAAACTTAAAAGTTACAAGTCATCCAAAGTATGATGAGCATCACGAACCAAGTCTTCGTACCTGAAAAATGCCCCGATAACTTTGGGGTGAGTAACATAAAGCTACTCATAGGAGATGAGCATGCATAGACCTAGCATTTTACAATATTATCACCTTTAGGTGAAACAATTCAAGAGGGCTCATGCCACCTGACGTTTATGTCAAAGTGAGACTCAGGGAGTGTCCTAAGCTACCTTAGAGCATTTCTAACATAAACTACAATATTTATACAACTAAACGATATAGAAGCATACTATACAACGCAACAAGACATAGATTCTCAAAGTTATCAACTTGAAATCTAGAATACAAAAACAACTAAAGTGGATCATGCCACGTAACGTCTATATTCCAATTGAATCTATATAATCATTCCTAAGGTACATTAGAATAATAAAACACAAATTACAATATCGATGCAATTTAACCAACATTGGAACTTTCAATACAACGCATAAAGCATGATTTCTCAAAGTAAACATCTTGAAACTTAAAATGGGAAATCAAATAAGGAACAACAAGTTACGATATCATCTAGTTATCAACTTGAAATGAAATGCGAAATCAAACAAAGTGGATACTCGGACATCACGCCGGATTAGACCAACACCATAGTTACTTTAGGGTTACTAGCCCACGGGTAACCTCACTATGTGCGCACTAGACTTGTAGAGGGACAATCCCCCGTACTAGAACCATGTCCTAATCGTAGTCATACAACGACATCCCCAAGTTTTCAAAATTAACAAGTTGTGCAACAACGTATATATTAACATATATATACAAGATAATCAACTATCTACCATGCACAACCAAATTTGGAAACACATACAATACATGCTCTAAGTCCACAACTACTATGGCATGACAAATGTCGAATCTTCAGTGTGCGATTGGTTACACGTTATAACAATGTTACTCAATATTGAAAACATAAACTCATGAATCTAAATATAACAACAATGTTATCTAATGCTCAAAATGTAACCAAGTGAATGTACAACAAGTCCAAGTCCATGATTTAAACATAGAAACAACTTCCAAAACACAATTAAATCCATGGAGTAATTAGATAGAATTTAATTAAATAAAAATAATTAAATTCTCTAGATTCCAAATCAATTACAAATAACCTCAAATCAATACATGTTAAAGGACATAGCACGGTCATCACCGATATCTATTCAAAAATTTAATTAAATCATGCTAATGTAAATTCTAAGGTTCTAAAGCAACTTCAAATGGTCCCAAATTAATATATGCAAGTTAACAAGTCCTAGTCATTACAAATATCAAGTTAAAACTTAACTCAGCCAATTGAACTATTAAATAGATTTTAATTAATTCTTTTAATTAAAATCTCTAGATTTTTAAACTCCTCCAAATGCTCTCAAATTTAAGTATGTTATAAAATATGCCAATACTTGATTTAATAGCATAATACAAGTGATTTTCTTGTACGCTACAATCATGATAATTAAACTTTCATACAAGAAAAATAATAAATGAAAGGTTTCAAAACCTAATCAAATATTCCCGATTTAATATATGTGAAAGTATATGGCATACACATCAATAATATCAAGTCGAAATTCCAATGAAGTGAATAGTGCACTTGGAAAAAAATTAATTAATCAAATTAATTAATTATCTCTAGATTTTAAAACATCTTCAAACACTCTCAAATTCACATATGTTAAAGAGTATGCTAGAGTCTAATATAATATGATATCACATATTGATTTCAAGCTAGATAAGGCTATATGAATTAAATTTTCATTTGATTTCAAGCTAGATAAGGCCAAATGAATTAAATTTTCATTCAAGAAAAATATTAAATAAAAACTTCAATACTTGTCCAAATGCTCTCAATTTAATATATGTCAATGAATATATCAAGGGGTAATTTAATGTCATGCCACATGTTTAAACCAAGTTATA